AACACACAAATACACACACGCATATTTACTAAAGCACACATATAAATACACTAAAGCTCATATGCAAGCGCGTGTGTGGTTTAGTAAGAGATCTCCCTTAATTAAACGACTTTTATATGCTTTCATAAAATATTGCGCATCCATATAAACATAAATATTGCACAATAAAAGAGCATTAACGATTTAAATTTAATTTTTGGTTGCCGTCATTAAGCAATTTGTCCCTAATTGTGTGGTAATTTATAAGAGGGGACATATATTGGTCTATATACTTGTACATATATATATTCATACGTGTGTAAGATTATGTGAAGAAGTATTAGGAGGTTGTTTCTTGTTAACAAGCGATATGATCTACCAAGAATAATGACTTTTCCTTTAACAAACTTTGATTTAGTACAAAAATTTTATGTCTTCCGGCGTTTTCACAGCCAATCTTTTTATCCTCAATTGTTTTTATAATGTTTCTCACTAAAAGCGCAAGAATATTCTTGTAGTGAGGCTTGTTTAAACGCTGTACTAAAATTGAGCGACTGCAACGAAATTGTGTTGCGCAACGAAATCCCGTCACACTCGTAGTATACAGCACACTACCATGATTAGAGCTGTGTACCCATTTAATATATTAGATTATTTGCTGTAAAAATTTCAAATAAGCAGATACAAGGTTGCCACCTGCTAAAAAGTTTGAAATAAAAACAATTAATTAAAATGTAAAAAACACAAAACCAGGAAAACGTTTAATAAAGTTGTAATTTGAAAAGTATAGGAAAGGTGGTTGCCACCTATTCAACATTTTAGTACAAAAAATTTAAAAAGATAACAGAAATATTTTAATATAAATATAACGCTGTGAAGATTGTATATATAAAAAAAAATAACTCATACATTTTAAGATATTTTCAATAGAGTTGCCACCTTGTTAAAAATTTTATGCAAAAATATAAAAATTTAATGGTAAGTAAACACTAAAATCTATGCATTTTCAATAAAGCTAATATTTGAAAATAATTTAGAAGAACTGGTTTCCACTTGTAAAATTTTCGTCCAAAAAAATTTAGTAAGATTACTGAATTATTTTCATATGGGTATTACACTAAAAAGGTTATAAAACTCATACAGTTGTATATATAGTTCTCAAGGGGGTTGTCACATGATTAAAAAACTTTATCTACTGCAAAGAAAAAAAATACACTAGAATATATTTTTCAGAGGAGTTGCCACTTGCTTCACACATTTTATGCAATGCAAAAAAAGTAAAGATTACAGTTATTTTGAATTTTCAATATAGTCAGCAGTTGGTGTTTCGCACTTCATCACATCATTTTTAGAATATGATAATATAATTCTCGATCCCTAATAGTTGCTAACTGCTAACATCGCAATGGAAGCAAAAAAAGTGAATGAATATTTAAAAGGCCAAAGCTATCTACATTAAACTTCTTAGAATTTTAAGTTTGTAAATATTTAAAACAAATTCAGAAAGTCATGGCGTTTGATGCATTAAATATTAATATTATGTAAAAAAAACTTTTGATTGATTGTAATATTTAAGCATAGAAAAACTGGTACGGATTGTTAAGTATTCTGTTGCGTCGACGGTGCGTATACGCAACATGTGCATGTTAATAATTCTGATGGGAATTTTTTTTTTAAATACATACATAAATGAGCTTCATAGATTTATGCCACGAAGAGAAGCTTTTTTATTTTTAGTCTAAAATATGTTATTTATATGGGAGTAAAAAATATTTTTATTTTTTTATTTTTTTTTTATTTGGTTGGAAATGGTACCCAAGTTAGAGAATATATTAGAGTGCACCCAAAAAAAAATTAATATCGAATTTATAGGTTAAAATAGAACTATATAAGAGAAAAAATTTTCTTTGCAAGTCATGGTATTTAGTTAAATTTTAAAAGTTGTTAGTGAGCATTCAAAGTCTCCCATATAGGTACATAAATAACATGTAAAAAAAAACTGTTTTCATTCAAAATACCATAACTTTTGAACCGCATAGGATAGAATTTTTTACGTTGTGGATCCTTGTGGAACATAAAATTTTCTAAAAAATCCACCACGGTTGGTATTTTTTTCAATACAAAAAAATAAATATTCACTTTACGTCATTGCCTAAAAATATTTTATGTATATTGAACGGATATATTTTACTAATATAATTAATTAATTTAAAACAAATTTAGTACTAGTATGGTATACCAATGCCAATTGCATAGAGACATAACTATAAATATGCACGGCTATTATTGCAAACTTACTTTATGCTCCATTAAGTAATCTTTGGTTAGAGATTATGTGTGTGTACACAATAACCAAATATTGCCTGAATTTCGACGCATCAAAAGGCATAAAAACCACTTTTGAAGTTCTCTCACTTCATTACAAATCCCACAAACAATATTCAAGACATTTTTTTGTGAAAACCTAATACTTTATTATTTCATATGATATAATGTGACAGCATTATTTAAACAACTTATTGATCGTTACAATTCATTAATACTAAGCAAGTGCCGGCGAAACTTCTATGCGTATTCAGATATACTACAAGGAAAATAACAACTTGCTTATGCAATTTCAATAGTAACGAAGGATTATATGTTCTTATATTAAAACTATATTATTATATATATTTCAATGGACTTTTTGTTGATGATATGTAATAGCTTTAGAAGATCATAGATTCAAGTATTTAGAAGCCTCAAAGTATATAAACAGTTACATATTTACCCAAATACTTGTATATTCTAAATACATATTTACGTTTGAAATAATTAAAATAATTGAGCTTTTGTTTATTTTAGATGTAAGGAGCGTATATAATAAAAATTTTCAAGTTTTTTTCAGTTCGTTTTCCGTAATAAGTTTTATATAGCTATATATTATATGTGTGTGTCTAGATATTAAGAATTTTATGCCTTGTGAATTTAACACATGCTAACAATTGCAATAATTACAACAATGTGAATACTTAAACAACTAACTTATGTTGGATAATGCTTTCTTAACAAGTGGGGAGAGTATCATTTGCAATTTACGGAGCAACTTCTGTTTATTCAAATTTGAATAACCACCAAAATGGTTTACATAAAATGGACCAAACATTTGTTTAAAATTAAAATAAACTTTCTGTTATGCAAATTCGGTATTTAACACTTAAAATGTATTAAGTTTAATATTAACATACCGAAACATAAATATTTCTTAACTAAAAAAATTTTCTCATTAAAAAGAATAAACAAATTAGCCAGAATAATGTTAATATAAATACTTGAAAAAAACCATTTCTACAGATTTTTTTTTAAAAGGCGACACAGATCCGAAGAGTTTATTTTAAATAATATCATAAGCAACTGATTGTGAAGACCGTTTTAAACTCAGACTTCACACTTGAAGATCTGTAAACTTTTAGAAACCATTACTCTCTAATATAGTGGAAAGCTGTACTGTGAAATTAACTGCAAGATTGGCGGCATTAAGTGAATTTTTCATAAGAACTTTTAGGCATAGCTCGATAAGCAGGGCGTCGGTGATAAAATAGACCATATACCTGCATGCTTTATGTTGAAGATAAGGTTTCAAGTCATATTAAAAGATCGTGGTTGGCGCAGGAGCTCGCGACTCACCAGCGGAACTTTCAACATCTACACGGAAGGATCAAGAATTACTGTTATAGTGGGCGCCGGAATCTATTGCGCGGAGCTAGATCTCAAACGACACTTCAAGCTGCTGGAATGACAATATCTTTCAGACAGAAGTCTTTGCGGTAAGGAAGATAGCTAATAACGCAAGAAACGATACAAAGAACATCAATATCTACATCAATAGCCAAGCGGCCATCAGAGAATGTCCTTAGAAGTAGAGAGGCAGTATATATCATGGCTGCATATATACTGCGTTTCCGGCCACAAGGACATTCCGGGGAACTAAAATGCCAAAAGTGCCAAAAGCGCTTGACTACCGTGCCAGTACCAGAAATACGCTATTCGCTAAAAACCATACACAATGAAATTTCCGAAAGGGCTGACAGACGGATTAGAGTAAAATGGGATGCCTTAAAGACATGCAAGGTCACCAAGACCATGTAGAAGGGTACGGAAGAAAAACACGCATGCGTTTTACACACACGATCTTGACCTAGTCAGAGATCACAACTTACCGGCATCAAATGCCATCCGAATAGGCATTTTCATTCAGAAAATGTAGGGAAGTAGGCATGAGAGAAACACTTGAACAACACCTCTGCTTCTATGCGGCCTTATCTGGAACTCGGATTAAATATCTAGGCGCTTCGCAGTTCAAGGCACTAGATGAAGTATTAGATATATATATCAAGTCTCAATTAAGATGCGTTAAACTGAACCTTCATCTGGCATTACAAAGAACTTATATGTCTATGTATGGCGTGACAGCCAGTGGGTATAACCTAACCTAACCTAATCTAGTTGCCAAACTTTGAAACTCAGTCAGTTTTTTTATAAAATTTATATTAAAAAAAAAAAATTTATAAACATTTATCTAAAAGTTAGGGTAGGTTTAATTACTTTTGAAATGTTGATCGCTGAAAATATATCCAAATGTTGTTGTTCTTTTTAAATCCTCTATGGTTCGAATTAGTGAACGCTAAAAACCTTATAGTAAAGCAACTTTCGAACAATGAACATCGAACTGCAGCTTCTAGCTAAATTCCAGTTAAGTTTATACGAAAGTTTTTTTCTTAGAAGTTTGTCCAATACAGAACTTTATTGATATTATTGAAATAATATACTAGTGATGCTCACCAGTTTTTCGAAGAATATCCCATAGTCAAATAAAATTTGAGTAAATGTAGGCTTTCTCAATTAATAAAGTAAACACAAATGCGAAAAAAAACATGAAAAAACTTTTCCATAATTTTGTATTCGGAAATTGGAAAAAAAAATCAAACCCAAACACGTATTTATAAACGCAACAATATTGATTAATAAAACTCAACCAAAAATGAAACATAACGACTCGATACTTAATTTTATTATCAAAATATTATAACAATTATACATAGTATTTCCGATAAACCATATTCTAACAGCTTGGTTCGATTCAAATACATATTTTAGCCGCCCAACAACTAAAATATTTTTTACAAAGTTCCATATTAATACTGAAATTAAAAACTAAATTGTAAAACAAGCAATAACTTTGATATATGAAATTGTGACATAGTTGGATGAAGAATACAATTTTTTATAGTTTTACTTTTTTAATTGGACTAAGTCTAGAAGATATGAAATTTCTTTGCGATGAAACAATTTATCGCATTATATATATTATATGGACTTATAATAATACAAAGTAATTTTTATAAACTCTAAACATGAGCTTTATGCATGTATGCATACTAAATATGTGTTAGGGTGATCCTTATATGTAAACAGAAAAATTGTATATCGAATTTTCGAAAGGTTAAAAGTTGTGTTTCCAATAATATACTCGAAAATATTATATATAAAGTTGAATGACGCTCGAATATGCTTAGGGTGCGTCGTTGAGAGTTCTAAATTTAGATTTTGTTCTAATTTGGAGCTTGGTACGAACATTTCTATTTATTATCTTCGACTAAATGTAATAGTTTACTTTTTCAGCACATATTATTCTGAGAAAAATATTTTTTTGAGACAATTTGAAGTTTGTCCTCTGTAGGACACACACTTATAATATTCTCCAAAATCCACTAAAATTTATATGAGATAATTTTTGCTATAGCTGTACAGTTTAAGAGTAAGATCGTAATAAAAATCCCGAATTTTTGTTTTGTTTTTTGAACCACCCTAATATATACACTAAAGTCGTACATCAACGATACATGCGATTTATCGGTAAATAAACTACTTTGAGAGTGTTATTTATAAAAAAAAAGAAAAATCCCACATAATTATATATTTTTGGACCACCCTCATTTGTATACTAACGCCTTATATCAGCCAATTCTTCCATATATATATATACTATGTTATGAGTTTTATTTCTAAAAACCGTTATTCACTACTGTCGCAGCACAAACCACAACGCTGTGCTACAGCTACCCGCCCAACTTATGCTCAACTAGATTTCTATTAAGACGGCATCCATAACGCTCTCTTCACCACCAACACCACCACTACCACCGGTGGCCGACTGTTATTTGGTGGTGTGACGCGCCCAGGCCGTTCGTTGCACTTGACTCATAATTTGACTGCGATTCGGCACTTTTTCACTCGTACTGCGCTGTATGAAGCTCGGTGTGGCCGAGAGCTTGCGCTGATTCGTCACATTACCCGCTTCGTCGGTCACTTTCAGCATAACGGTATTGAAGCGTGGCTCATTGTTGTTGTTTGTGGCGCCGCCGGTACGTACGCGCGGCGATGATGGTGACGCCGAGTCCAGTGTCGACGAGGAGCGACTGGATTCGCGTGTACCCGAGGGACTTCCGGCGGCTATATTGCCATTGGAGGACGTCGATATCATCGAACCGCCTAGTGGCTTCATCAATTGTTCATCGATTAAGTTATTCAAGTTCTGATCGATGCTACTCAGCTGTTGTTGTAATGCGTCCACCTCATGTTGTTGTTGCTGCAGCTGCGGGCTGTGCGCATATGTGTTGCGTGTCAGCGTGCTCATGGGCGATGGCGTCAGCTGGCCCGACAGCGCGCCCGGTGAACTGAGAAAATTGAAATTACCCGCATTGTTGTTGTTGTTTGCTGGACTGCACGACATCGGATTGACGAAGAAGAAGGAGTTGCGCGGCGACGGCGTCTGCTGGGCGCTGGCCATAGGCGCGCCGGTGTTCAACGTCAAGGCGTTCGCATTGCTAGCGCCCAAATTCAGCGCTTGCAGACGATTCAACAGCTCCTGATTGACCTGGAAGAGGTCCTTCGATAGCGCATCTTGCTGCGACTGCGTCGTTTGTGCATTGAGTTGTTGTAGCTGATTGCTTATGCTATGCAATTGATTCATGGTAGGGAATGGACTGCTGCCGCCGCCGCAGGCGTTACTGTTATTTATGCTGTTGTTGTTGGTGTTGTTGCCATTGTTGGCGTTCGCCGTTGTAGCGATATTCAAATGCAGCTGCGACTGTTGTAACGAGGCAACCGAACAGGGTGGTGTCAGCTGCTGCTGTTGGCTAACGGGCGGTGGTGAGGGTTGCTGATGTGGTTGTTGTTGTTGCGCAGCAGCCGCTGCCGCAGCGTTGATATTCTGGAAGTTTTGTATATTCTGACTTTGCTGATTCAAACCACTCAGCTGATGACTGAGCGATGTCAGCTGTTGGTTGATGGAGCCAAGGCTGTTGATTTGTTGATTGATGGTGGCCAAGTTGTTGTTGTTGCCGGTAGCTTGCAATAACATTTGCAGCTGTGACGCGCAGCGTGGTTGGGGGAAGAAGGTAGTGTTAATATTATTTTGAGTTTTTTTTCCAATTTTAGAAACTTTTTACGAACACAACAACAACAAAAACACTTAGAAATCAAACGAAAAAAAGTCGGCAATGCAAAACCAAGCGGCGCAAGAAACGAAGTGACGAAAACGAGCAAACGAAAAGAGGCAGGTGAGTCAAAAAACGCGCACATGGTTATTTTCATAAAAAAAATAATAATAATAACAAAAAGCTCTGCAGCACAACGTGAAAAATGCAAAAATAAAAAAATATTAAGAAAAAATTAAAAATATGCACAAAATTATTTTTAAAAAATTTAAAAAAAAATTTTCAAATATTATCTGTAAAAAATATATAAATTTAGGAAGAAACAAATTTTAAATATATAAAAAAAAAATTTATAAAAAAACTTAACAAAATAGTTTCCAAATCATGCCGCATGCAAATACATATATTGACGTCATTTGTTAAGTGAAGGCGTTAGGGCTTCACCCCATGCAGTACTTAATATTGCAAAAAATTTGCAAAATATTATAAAAAACAACAACAACAGTTATAAGTGTTTTGATATGTAAATACCTGCGGTGCCATGCCGATATTGGCCGAAGTCAGTCCGGCGCCCTGTTGTTCGTTGTAGGCGCCCAGCGATGCCAGATGCTCGAGCAGCTCGCGATTCTGCTGCAACAGTTGCTGTGTGCGTGCCTGAAATCGGCCGGAAAATTATTATTAATAACATTCAAAACTCGCCTATTCTGCTAATGCTATCTTTAATATCATACTTAAGTAGTTAATAAACAAGTTTATTACAAAATCGATTCGATTCAAAACTAAGTGTTCATTAGGCAAATTTAATCGTACAAAAGTATTTTTAAAATACTTGAAAATTTTTGATTACTATTTGAAAAAATTTTAATTTGATAAATTTTCAATTTAATTTTTTAAATAAAGAAATGCGAAAAATTTAGAAATAGAACGTTTAAATGGTACTAAAACGTGAAAATTTTGTTTTAGTTATTACACATATTTTCAAAATGAGGTAAAAATATCTATAAATTTGATTTTTTGTAATTTTTTTTTATTTATTGATTGAAATTTTAATTTACAATAAATAAAATATTTTTAATTTTAATTTTTCTAGTTTATATAAGTTTTTTTATTTTTTAACAAAATTTATTATTGCCAAACATGTATCAAAATCAATTTTTTTATTTAAAATTTTTTTCTACGGTTTTTAATCTAACACTATTTAAACGAAAAATAACATACCCATCTTTTTATGGATAATACTAGCTGAACATTTGAGGTATACTTCTTCCATTACAATTAAATATTTTCATTAAACTATAAAATTTTAATAGTAATTGCAGATTTAGCTGTGTTTCATTTTATATTCTAAATTTTTAAACAAACATAAAAATCAATATTTGTTAAGAATTTTTTACTTTAGAAAAAAAAAATTTATTTCATTTTTTTTTCAGAAATTTTTTTAGAATTTTTTGTTTTAAATTTCCGTTTTAGAAAAATTTGCCTAAAATTAGATTTAAAATAAATTCTAAAAAAAAATTTTTTTTTTTGGGTAATTTAGCTTCGCAATTTAAATTTTGCGCTCTCATGAATGAATTCTGAAAAGTAATATTTTAATTGACGTAACATTTAAAAAATAAATAAAATTTGAAATAGCGTTTTCTAAATAATATTATTTTAAAAACTAAAAAGAAAAACTATTTTTATCTGAACAAGATTTGATAACAATATTGTTTACTAACTATAAAGTTTTTAATGTTGGTACAAATTTTAAACTAACTTTAATTCACGGCTAAAATAAACTATTTTATTTTCTCATAAATAGTAATATTTAATGAAAAACATAAGAATATTCAGTTGAGCTATTTATATGACCACCACTGTATTTGTTTAGTATTATTAATGAAATTTAACACTCACCTGAGCCTCGATGCGCGCATTCGTTTCCGATATAAGCTGCTCGCGTACCAACATCAGCTGTGCCAATGCCTGGCGCGTTTGTATGGCCTGCTGCTCCAATTGATCCTTTAGTTTGTTGATCTCATGACTGGGCGACGACGGTGTAGTGGGGGATTTGTCTTCGTCAGCGGTCTAAAAAGAAGCATATAAGATTGATATACTTTCATTGATGAGTACCAAAACCGTCACATTCGGTAATAAAGAGTTTAAAACAAAAATTATTTTTTCTTGTCCAACAAATTTTTTTACCTAAATTAACTTTAAAACTGAGATGTTAAAAAATTTTTTTTTTGTCCAAAAATTTTATTTTTTTATAATCTACAGATTTTATCCCCAGGCTAAGCAAAAAAATAATAAAAAAATTTCGCTCCACCCTAGTTTTTAAATAAAAGGAGGGACAAAATGAAATTTTGGACACATTTGTTTTATTTTGGTATCACACCTTAACACTTTCTCGCCACATTTCGTTATGATATCTCCAACTCTTGCTAAAATTAACAGAATAAAGTCAGGAATAGCGATGAGATTCAGTGTTTTGGATATAAAAAAAGCAAAGAAAAAATTAGAACTTACTTAATTCTTTTTTGATGCCAAATCAAATTATACAAAGCTGCATATTTTAAATAAAATCTTTTGAGGAATCTCTCTTTCGCTAGATATCTACGTATATAGAAAAATTCAGTTTTCAATATATCGTATTCGGCATATGGCGTCTAGGCAAAAACTGTAACTGCATATATCACCTCTTTTAGATGCTAAAAAACCTCAAAAGAAGCATTGAATCCATTATCTATATAAAATATTTACGATATCATGTCCACGGGAAGTCTAGAAACTCTCATGTTTCAAATGGGGTATAAATATAGATGCATACCCGAAAGTATGGAATTAGATACCATAAACCACTTTCTTCAATTTTTCGAAGCGAGTTCATGCAAATCGATAAATTTTATTGTAAAGTATATATCTGTTTAAAGTTTCCGAAATCGAATGACTTTGTGTTTGGAATTTTTTTGGAAATAACTTCACTAGGAGGGTATCAAAATAAATTTATGGTCTAAATTTGGATGATAAATCAATTTAGCATTTGAAACAGAAAATTTCAACTGAATATTCTTAGTTTTTATGTTTTACGTGCTTTTTAACAGAAAGTTTTCGTATTTTTTGTAATTTTTAATACTAGGCGGAAAGTGGTCTAAGCCCGATTTTATTAAGTAATTGGTAAAAAAGAATGCTCTTTTGTGGTGTTAACAAAGATCCAACAGTTTATGCGGTGCTTAGACTGAAAGTTATTAAAAAGTGGATAGATGTCTAGTTTTATCCAGAATATATTAAAACATATATAGGTAAAGCTTATGTATTTTCGAAAAACAACATTTGGTAGGCGCGACAATAACGAAATTCGGTACAGTTGGCTCTGTTCAAAGTGTCAAGGAAGATGTGTTTCGAGCTTCCTTAAGATTTATATTTGCTTGCACAGCTGGAATAATGTACGGACGGACGAACATCAAAAACCATTAATCTTCACTTTCCGATATATACCATATCTATATATATATTTTTGTATATTATAACATATACTCGTATAAATGTTTTATCCCGTTTACTTGAAGGCATTTTAAACTACGTTAGGCGCATAGAGCTGTAATAGCATGTCAAAAAGATTGGGAGTGTGTAGAAGTAAAGCTAGGATTAATAGGATTTTAGTTTTTTAAAATTGCCACCTACAACTTTTCGGTTTTAACTCAAGCTCGCTGATTTAAGTTTAATAAATTTCACAATATTGCAATATATTTTGTATGAAGTATTGTTGGATTAGCTCATATATATATATATATATTTTTTTTTAGCTTAAATTATTGTTTAAATATTAAAGTAATACTCACCAACCGAAAATGCTCGAAAGAAAAAATTATGTACCGACATTAATGCATGACACACCAACAAATAAATTTTGCAAGCGCTAACTAAGTATGCTTAAAATTAATTTTCGTGTAAAAAATTATAAAAACCTATAACGAACTTAACTAAGCTTGCGCAGCTGCTTAACTGCCGTTATTCTAAATATAATATATTGACTTCATTATCAGCATGCATGCCAGCGTTGCCAACGCACATACTTCATTTCTTTTTGTTTTTAAATTTAAGTCTGCTTCTTATAAACTAACTGCCGTTATGCTGCGCCTAATGCCCCGACTTAGCACATTAATTTTTCTTGTAATTTCATCAAATATTCTCAAAATGTCGTCACTTTGCCCAGCCGCATGCCGAGCAATTTACGCTGCTTCTTTGCACTCAATTTCGTCCAAAATGGTGCTGCTCCCCTCGACCAGCAGAAATTCATCGCATAATCATCAGGCTCCTTAGTGTAGTGGAACTCTTCGCAATGGAATTTCTCCGAACGTGAATCGCCCGAAACGAAGCCGCTTTCAGGACGTGACAGTGAGGCTGTATGCCAGGGTAGCTGTTGGAACCAGCGTGCCACTTTCGCTGTCGATGAAAGCTATAAACAGGAGTAAGAAAAGAGTGAGTGTTTGTGAGAGCGAGAATAAAAATTAATAAAAAATATTAAAATACAACACAAAATTTATATGAGAAACGTGAGGTGAGTACCGATAAGCTGCGAGAATATAAAATATTACAACAAAATACAGAGATAAAGCAATATCGAGCCTTTCGGCAAAGCGTTGCCACGGCGCTGTTATTTATGAAATATTTGCCGAAAGTTAAACGCGGATTTATGCAGTGCGTAAGCGTCACGACCACTTAAGCCAAGCGTCTTATATTTTTGGTTTTTGTTTTGCTTAGGTTTACACAAGCTCCAACTCTTCTCTGGCTGTTAATCTTCTGCTCATTTGTTTGTCGTTCTTTGCTTGTCTGCCGCTTTTACCGCTACTTATTACTTCGTCCTTTGCTTCCGCGGTATTCATCGCTGCTCTACCTATGACGCCCGCATGCCTTGTGGTTCCTACCGCCGCGTCGAAATTCGGAAGCCAGGCAAGTGATAAATTGCGCCATTACGGGCTGAAAGCCAAAAAAAGCGCAAGTACGGTAATTGAATACCGGAACGGCAAACGTGTTTGCCGGGAACGCTCACGCACCCAAGCAAACACACAAATACACACACGCATATTACTAAAGCACACATATAAATACACTAAAGCTCATATGCAGCGCGTGTGTGGTTTAGTAAGAGATCTCCCTTAATTAAACGACTTTTATATGCTTTCATAAAATATTGCGCATCCATATAAACATAAATATTGCACAATAAAAGAGCATTAACGATTTAAATTTAATTTTTGGTTGCCGTCATTAAGCAATTTGTCCCTAATTGTGTGGTAATTTATAGAGGGGACATATATGTTGTCTATATACTTGTACATATATATATTCATACGTGTAAGATTATGTGAAGAAGTATTAGGAGGTTGTTTCTTGTTAACAAGCGATATGATCTACCAAGAATAATGACTTTTCCTTTAACAAACTTTGATTTAGTACAAAAATTTTATGTCTTCCGGCGTTTTCACAGCCAATCTTTTTATCCTCAATTGTTTTATAATGTTTCTCACTAAAAGCGCAAGAATATTCTTGTAGTGAGGCTTGTTTAAACGCTGTACTAAAATTGAGCGACTGCAACGAAATTGGTGTTGCGCAACGAAATCCCGTCACACCTCGTAGTATACAGCACACTACCATGATTAGAGCTGTGTACCCATTTAATATATTAGTTATTTGCTGTAAAAATTTCAAATAAGCAGATACAAGGTTGCCACCTGCTAAAAAGTTTGAAATAAAACAATTAATTAAAATGTAAAAACACAAAACCAGGAAAACGTTTAATAAAGTTGTAATTTGAAAGTATAGGAAAGGTGGTTGCCACCTATTCAACATTTTAGTACAAAAAATTTAAAAAGATAACAGAATATTTTAATATAAATATAACGCTGTGAAGATTGTATATATAAAAAAAAATAACTCATACATTTTAAGATTTTTCAATAGAGTTGCCACCTTGTTAAAAAATTTTATGCAAAAATATAAAAATTTAATGGTAAGTTAAACACTAAAATCTATGCATTTTCAATAAAGCTAATATTTGAAAATAATTTAGAAGAACTGGTTTCCACTTGAAAATTTTCGTCCAAAAAAATTTAGTAAGATTACTGAATTATTTTCAATGGGTATTACACTAAAAAGGTTATAAACTCATACAGTTGTATATATAGTCTTCAAGGGGTTGTCACATGATTAAAAAACTTTATCTACTGCAAAGAAAAAAAATACACTAGAATATATTTTTCAGAGGAGTTGCCACTTGCTTCACACATTTTATGCAATGCAAAAAAAGTAAAGATTACAGTTATTTTGAATTTTCAATATAGTCAGCAGTTGGTGTTTCGCACTTCATCACATCATTTTTAGAATATGATAATATAATTCTCGATCCCTAATAGTTGCTAACTGCTAACATCGCAATGGAAGCAAAAAAGTGAATGAATATTTAAAAGGCCAAAGCTATCTACATTAAACTTCTTAGAATTTTAAGTTTGTAAATATTTAAAACAAATTCAGAAAGTCATGGCGTTTGATGCATTAAATATTAATATTATGTAAAAAAACTTTTGATTGATTGTAATATTTAAGCATAGAAAAACTGGTACGGATTGTTAAGTATTCTGTTGCGTCGACGGTGCGTATACGCAACATGTGCATGTTAATAATTCTGATGGGAATTTTTAAATACATACATAAATGAGCTTCATAGATTTATGCACGAAGAGAAGCTTTTTATTTTTAGTCTAAAATATGTTATTTATATGGGAGTAAAAAATATTTTTATTTTTTATTTTTTTTTTATTTGGTTGGAAATGGTACCCAAGTTAGAGAATATATTAGAGTGCACCCAAAAAAAAATTAATATCGAATTTATAGGTTAAATAGAACTATATAAGAAAAGAAAAATTTTTTGTTTGGTATTTAGTTAAATTTTAAAAGTTGTTAGTGAGCTATTCAGAAGTCTCACATATACATAAATAACATGTAAAAAAAACTGTTTTCATTCAAATACCATAACTTTTGAACCGCATAGGATAGAATTTTTTACATTGTGGATTCGTGTGGAACAT